GGCGGTACTCGTGTTTGCCTTCTGGCTGTGCTGGACGCTGTTTTGAAAGCTAGGAAGTGGGACCTATGCAAGTTTGGCCTCCCGGTGTTTATATCTGCCTTGGTATTTTTTCCTCTTTCAGATACCTGTGTAAAACCACACATATTCGCTGAGCTTGTTGGGTGATGGTGTGTATTAACAGGCTTCTGTGCATAAAAGTTCTGTATGTTTCTTTTTTAGTGATGGCTGCTTTGGTGTAAAGCGTTTATAGAAAGACCTGAGGAACTTTCCTTTTTCATTTTTGCCTTTTTGTAACACAATAAAGTCCATAATTTCTCTTTCCCAGAATAGTTATCTTGCTCTTTTTTTCCAGTGGATAGGTGGTTCGTTCTGTTGTTACCTTTTGTTGTTACCTGTTTTTTGCCCTTTGTTTACAGATCGACTGCGTAAGTGCATGACTTCAGGGAGCTGCTGAGGATACGTTTTAGATACAGGGAATCACTTTGCTCTTGTTCAACATCTGTGCAGGAAGTGTCATCATTTTTAAATCCATTATTAACTCTTTCCAATTTTTATTTCGCTGCTGTTCATGTCTCCAGGCCTAAATCCTGGCAGTTTTACTGTATGGAGAAGCTAAGGGAGCCTGTCTCCTGCTTCTGAAGTAGAGTTGTTGGGCTTCTATCTGCTTCTCATGAGTTGGGCAGACACCCAACTTCACCCAGCTTCTGAAGGGCTTGGGTCCTCCCAAATATTACCGCTTACAGGTGTCCCCCTGGGGCCTGCTGGTGCAGTACCCTCAGCAGCTCGTCCCACCTCTCCCGCACTGTTGAGCATCACAGCAGTCTTTCTGACTCTGTTTTCTACCATGTTTGAAATACATTTCAGCTTGTGTTAAAATCTTCTCTGTTTACATACATTTTTTAAGTGCTCTATTCCTCTGGTGCCTGTTTCCCCATGTCTTGGCCCTGGTCCCAAAACTACTGTGCGTTGCTTTCCCTCCTCCCTTCTCCCACCCTGCTGGTTTTGAGGTTCTGCTGTCATTTCTGAGTTTTGTTGCAACTGCGACTGTAGTCAGATTGGATGCTTGTCTGCCTCAGCATTTAGCCAGAGTGACTTTAATCATGGTGCTGTTGTATTGTCCTGAAAAGTGAAACAGCTGAACTTAATCTGAAGCAACTGGCCTTAAGCCTCCTTTTTTTTTTTTTTTTTTAATTTTTTTTGTTTACATGCTTATTAAAGTGATACAATCGGAGTATTCAATGATTTGATACACATATTCATCACTAAAGGGACATGTCTTTAGGATTTCCTGTGTGGGGCTTCATGTACGTGCAGAACTGAGGTGTATCGGGATTATTGTCTTATTCCATTGACTGAAATGTCTTCCCTTGTCCTGACTTTAGATTATTTTCCTCAACACTTGTGAATGAGTGTTTATGCGAGTCTGTCATTTTTAATACAGATGGCAAAAGGCTGAGTGACCAGTTAGGGAAGAGCTGTCAAAATGTTACGCAGTATCTGTTTATGAGCTAACTTTTCTCTCTGTTTCTTTCTCCCCTTCCTTTGGATTTGCTCTCCCAGGAGTTGCTGTCTAAATGGGTCCAGTCATGCCTCCCAGTAAGAAGCCAGAGGGCTCAGGAATTAGCGTTCCCAGTGGATTGAGCCAACGTTACCAAGACAGTGATTTATCAAAGGCACTTCACGATGATGAGGACCTAGATTTCTCTTTGCCTGCCATCAGATTAGATAAAGGGGCCATGGAAGATGAAGAACTAACTAATTTGAACTGGTTACACGAGAGCAAGAACTTGCTGAAAAGCTTTGGGGACTCGGTGTTAAGGAGTGTTAGCCCCGTTCAGGACATCGGTGATGACACGCCGCCGTCTCCTGCCCATTCTGACATGCCCTACGATGCCAAGCAGAACCCCAACTGCAAACCTCCTTATTCCTTTAGCTGCCTCATATTTATGGCCATTGAGGACTCGCCAACCAAAAGACTGCCTGTAAAGGATATATACAACTGGATCTTGGAACACTTTCCGTATTTTGCAAACGCACCCACTGGATGGAAAAATTCTGTGAGACATAATCTATCCTTGAATAAGTGTTTTAAGAAAGTGGACAAAGACAGAAGTCAGGTAAGTTTGGAACTGTGGAAACCTATCTGGCTCTGAAAATATTCACCTGCTAATCCCAGAACGTGTCTGTAATAGTGAAATGCAGAATATGCAACGCTGTCCCTGGTAACGTAGTTCATTAAATTCAGAGAGCCAGCATTTCTTTAGCATGGCTCAGTCTGATTTTATTAAATTCATTGTCTAGACATCCGTAAGAAAGTACTCGGTGTGTGTGTATGTTTTTTCTTTTCCCCCAGCTGGTGTCTTCATGCATAGTGGTTAAATATTGTTTTTAGTTATCATGCTGTGGTAATGGTTTCCAGCTATACTAGATGAATGTAATCATGCTATAAATAGGCTGCTTGCTGTTCTTGGCTTATACAAATGTGTAGTGAAAGGGTATGCCTTATGTAAGAGTCCATCGCTTTTTCCCTGGTCTGTGTTGTAATCTGAAAAAATTTTCTCTTAAACAAACAGCAGTAGTTCTGAATTTTGGTGATGAAGCTTCGTTGCATTTCAAGCAGGTTTTAGAGAAACTCTTTAAAGAGAGGAGATAGGTCTGGCATTAAAGATGAAAGTTACCATTCACCAAAATTTCAGTCGTTCTCTCCCTGGGCTCACGTAGCTTCTGCAACTGGTGTGGTGGCAGAAGCCTGGGGAGCACATTTTTTGCTTTTGGATCTTTGTTGTCGGCTGGCTTCATTGCTGAATCCTCAGCGGCGTCTGCAGGAAGAGGCTGTGTGCGAGGGAATGGGGAAGCAAGCTGAGCAGTGGAGGCAGTCCTTTGCAGAGCCTTTGCAGTCTGCCTGGGAGCAGATACCAGTTTCCGAAGGGGAGCGTCTCCAGAAGCAGTGGTCTGGATGAATCTTTGGTAAAGTATGAGTATATTGATAAAAATACCAGCTTGCGGAATAATTTCACAGGCCTTCTCACAGGTTAGTGAGATAAATAGTGAGTAAAATCACATCAGTGACCATCTGTCTCTAAAATTGGCTGAAGATCAGAAAGTGGACACTTTCTCCTGGCAGAAACAGGAGATGCACTCAACTTTTGTATTTCAGTGAAGTAAATGCTGTGATTGTCTTGTAACTGGTTACCCTGAAACTAGACTTCTGTTGGTGGTGCTGTTCTCCCTATTTTGCGTGTGATTTAACTTTAAATGCTGTGGAATAGGAGCTCAAGTAACTCTAGAGGAAGAGTCATACATTACCCTAAACTTTTCATTTTAGATTACCTAACTTTCTTTTCTCTGGAGCTTTCCTTTTTTAAACGATTGACTTTTTTTTTTTTTTTTTTTTTTTTAATGTCATTCCCTAGAATCCACTGTCCACATATTGGTGATCACATGCTGTATGTTGGCATTTTTATAAATCAGTTGCTGTGAATGATTGTGTATGAGATTAAAAAACCTGTTCCTGAACTAGATCTTGTTTTGTGTAAACCAGAGTCTTAAATTCTCGTTTGGAAGTGAGACTATAACAAATGCCACACCAGACTTTTATGATCCTGTCCCAGACCATAAGAAACCTTCACACAATACATTTAAAAAATGCCAAAATACTGTAACTGGCAAGGCATGTGTTTAACACTGCCATTTGTGTTTTGTTCTATCCCTCTTTTTGTGTTTACAAGTTGACTATTTAGATTACAGCTTCCTTCCTATGAGGAACTTGTCTTCATGTCTATCTGTCAAATATCCGGCAGTCTGCTGAGCTTGTATGAACAATACCACAACGTGCTGCTTCTCCACAGGGAAGTGGTGGAGCACAATGCATGACTAGTCACCTACGTCTCAAATTCATGATTAGAGCCATGGTTACATAGCTAGACAACAAGGTGTGGTGGGAGGCCTTGCCTGTATGAATAATGAGGTGGGGTTTTATTCATTCCTGGAAAAACCCAGATTATGAGAAAGAATTTCTTCCATCTCCTGGAGATGCTAATAACTGCAGGTAGCCAGCATTAAGGTGAATGAGATGAGAATCTCAAATGTAAAATGTACCAAGGCAGGTCATTTAGATCCCCTGCTGGGTTTTTCTCGTGTCCTGGCCGAGGGACACGGGGCAGACAGAGTCCCGAGTGCAGAATTGGCGCTTGGTCAGAGTTGCTGAATCAGGTGCTTGACAGCTAATTGTGGACTTGGAAAGCGGTACACTTCAACTGCTGGCTTTGAAAATACCTTCGTGTGTGTGCATACGCACACTCGGGGTTGGTTTGAGTACCTTGCAGCCAGCATTTCTGCTGTTCAGAAAGAAGGTGTCCATCTAAAAGGTTCTCCGGTTTTGGGCTGGGGCTTGGGGCGGTGGAAGCGGGGAACTCCTCTGGAAGGAATCGTTTTATGCCACTTCTTCACCTTTGAAGCCAGATTCTGCAAATTGCAGGTTTGGAGTTTGCCTGTCTTACTGTTTCTATGTGGGGAGGAAAAGCATTTAGCAAATGGCATGTTATAAAATGCTAATAAGATAGGCTCTGAAACGTGTACGGTATGGGGGGAAGGAGTTAATCAGTGCTGGGAATTGCAGGCATTTGCTGGTTGATGTGCGTTGACACATTGTGAAAAGCTAGAAGCCTTTCCTCTTGTAGTTGTGCTTTCCAGTGTTTGTTTGTGTAGTGTTTCAGTAATCGTTTTTCTAAAAAAAAGTTGTGCTGAACACTTAATTCTTTTTTGAATTCCCTCTGCATAGTAGTTTTCTCAATCTTGGGCTTCTCTAATTTATATTCATGGGGCTAAATATGTATTTAATAGCATGCAGCTTCTTCTGCCTGCATATGAATGCTTGCATTTCCTGATGCGAGATCTTTGTAACAGGGGGAAAAAAAAAAAGCTTACAGGCTGCATCACTTGAGTTTTCGGCTTGCCCTGTCCTGGTGCTTTTAGGTCTGGTGTGGAATGCTGGGAAAAGACGTTCTTCTCCTCAGACTTGTTTATGCACTTCTGCTATTCCACTTCAGCTGCAGTGCCATCAGGCTTACCTGGCAAGCCGACAGAGTGACTATTCATGTAACTTTGCAATGAGGCTGATCTCCTGGATCGAGACAGAGAGCCGGGCTGAAGAAGGGAAAATGCTGAGCCCTTGATTGTGCAAACCTCTTTGCATTGAGCTCAGCAGTTTAATAATAGTTGGCCAGAGTATGAAGTGTCACATGATGGGGAGTAGACGAGGAGTTCCCTGGCTTTGTTTATACTGCCGGACCTGTGAATTCAGTCATTCAGATTAATCCTATTGTGAACGTACAGATCTAAATGTCCTCCCGTGTGTGTCCCATTTAGTACAGCCTGTTAGCCCATGACTTCCCTGACTTCCCTACCATCTGGTCCTTGGCTATAGAGAGGAATTTTTCTTGTATATGTGTCTCCATAGCAACGAGTTTGCAGTTGATATGGAAAGTAAGCAGTTGCCCTAGCAACGGAGTTACTGATGTGGCAGCTTCTCTGCTTGCAGGGAAAGGGCTAAGCTAGTTCAGACGCATTATGTAGGTTTGCTGTAATTATAGCTGCGCCCACTAGTGCTGCTCTAGCTAAGGATCTGTTGAAAAATTTTGTTGTAAGCCCTATTTTTTTTCCCCCTT